AGTGATTCCCAAACTATACCAGTTTATAGTTTTAACTATAATGTTCTATAATGTAATGAAAACTTTTGCAATCTAATTGTATGAAAGTAAAATACCCTTATGCTTGACATATTACCAAAAGGGTTAAAAATATAAGAATATTTTTATGAAATATAGCGAATACTCGGTTTGAATCAATTGCAAAGGTTTTAAAACTATTTAAAAATGTTTGTATAAAAACACAAAAAATCATTGTGCCTTACTTGAAACCCCCCCCCCCCCCCACCCCACCCCACTCCTAAAAACATTAAAAACACTGAAAATGTAGGGGTATGAACTCACCTTAAATGTGTGTTCGCTTAAATTGGCGAGTTTGTAGCGACGACCCTCGGGTCAGCGTACATGCGAATAATGTTATCCTAAAAATAATTATATTTGACGTCGTATTTAAATTAATAAGATATTAATTTAAATAATAAAATAAATAATATTGAAAATAATAAATAAAATGTTAAACAACACTTTAATCATGTAAGAAATACTTACAATAATTATTTGGAATTCTTTGGAATGTTAAAATGGGCTTTCGGTGGGACGATAGGGTTTTCGGTTGGATCTTGATGTTCTTGGGGAATATTATGAAGATTTGAAGATCACATGAATATTTTAAGGTGGGTTTGAATGTTCTTGATGAGAATATGGAGATTTGAAGGAATCTGGGTGTAAACTCTTGAATATTGAGAGAAAAACACGTGTTAACGGATAATAGTTGAGAGGAAATTTGAGAGTGTTTTCGGATGAAAAGTGGAGAAATGAATTTGGTTTTCGGATGGACTAAATATATAGAAAGGTGTTCTCGGTTCTAGAGGGACTTGCTCTTTGATGTTCACGGTTCTACACCTTTGGGTTTTTGCCCTTCATGGGCTTTCGATTGTGTTTTCAGATTAAAAGCAAACCGTAAACACCCTTTTGTCACAAACTCAAACCGTAAACTCTTGATTCTTTGAATTCTTGGCCATGAACTCCTTGGTATCCCTTTCTTTTGCTGAAAACTAGTTTTAGTTGGATATTTTGGACCGTGAACCCAAATGTGGGGTTTATTTTATGATTTACACCTTAGACTATCCATTTATGTTAAATTATAATATCATAATTCCCTTAAGACATTAGATGATAGGTTTACATAAGAATTGAAATGTAGTTTTAGGCTCTTATTTAATTAAGAATGACGGGTTGTTACATCATATGTAAGTATAGTTAGAGGTCCATCTAATGAAAATCATGGTAAAGAACCAGTTGAGAAAATACTAGTACTTCCTTTCGAGTATTTTATGGTGGAAACATGAAAACACGTATGTCTAGTTAATGGTGGAGACTTCTCCACTTTACCCAATCTTCAGATGCTTTGCTTTGACGAGGGTTTTGATGACTTTTATATTCGCTATGTGAGTGATTTATGGTCTATGTTTAAGTTCAAAAGTAAAGATGTTTGTAAGAACTTTATGGCTAGTGATGTCATGAACTATTGGATTTTGGAAAAACATGCTTAGGATAAAGATTTTGTGCCATTGGAAAGAATTGTTTGGGTTGATGTTGAAGGTTTACCCTTGCGTGCTTGGAGTAAAGAAACATTTAAAAAAGCATTGCTAAATGGGGGTGTATTATGCATCTTGAAGAGGGTTTATGCGAAGATGACTATAAGATCTGACTTTGTATTTTGTCTTCCTTTTAAGGGATCAATTCGGATGTGTTGAAAGTTCGCAATGATAATTTTGTGTTCTCGGTTAGAATTAGTGAAGCCCTTAGTGGAACACCATCTTTTGTCTTCTAATATTCATAAACATGTTTCTAGAAATAGTGATGTTCATGGTCATTTTGAAGAGGAGGGAAGCTTTCACTCCATGAATGATAAGGAAGATATCCTTTATGATCCATTTGGTATTTATGAAAGTATGGAAAAAATTTAGGAAGATGAGGACATATATAATGCAACAAGTGGTTGTAGAGGTGGGGGATCCGGAAAAATTTTAAGGAGGCAAATGAAGATTTGGAGGGGTATATCTAAAAGGACATTAAAAAAAATCATGAAGGTTTAATTCCACTTTGTCGGTTGTCGTAGAGTATAATTCATGCTCGCCATCAGCCCTATCTCCTATGGTAGCATCAGTCCAGGCTACTACTTCCATTCTTGCACTAGTTTCGACGACAATTGTTGTTCTGCACAAGACAATAATTTTTGTTCCTGCTCTGGTTGCTGTAGAAATTCCTCATGTTGCTTCAGACACAAATGGAAGTTTGGTTAACAATCGAGGAGTTAGTGCCCAGTTAGTTTCTCGGGAGCTTATGGTCGTATGTCGAGGGTTGACCTCCCTGAGGATTCTTTGTCTCATCCTTTGTGTTTTTCAAATTTGATTGGAAATGGTGGTTTTTTTCTGAAGAATCCTATAATAATCATTCATTTTTAATAAAAGTAAATAAATAAATAAAAAACAACAACAACAACATTGGCAATGGGGAGATCTACAGGATATAATATGGATGAATGTTTTGAATGGGTGAAAGAAATTATTAATGGTCATAGGGAAATGCAAGTTCTTCCATGTATCTCCATAAATATTCAAGGAATAGGTTGTAGTGACAAGTGACTGTAGATTAGAGCTATATGTCAAACACATAAGGTGAATTTTTGTGACATCCCCAAAATCTCGGCCAGAAAAGACCGATTTTCATTTATGCTTTTAAAATAATTTCAGAGTAAATCCTTTTGATTTGAAAGAGTTGCGGAATTTGTTCTCAAAAACAAAACATGATAAAACAATGTTTACCAAAGCATTTCATAAAAGAAATGTATTTTCATTATATAATCAAAACTCGGGGTGTCATGTTCCGATACAGACCAATAAGCATAAACGATAACATTACGCCCTTGTGCCACTTCCTGTATTACAAACTTGTAAACAAAACAACTTGATGGTTCATCCATCTTACGCCCTTGCGCCACTTCCTGTAATACAAATAAAACTGAGTGGGTCAGGATTGGGAGCCTGGTGAGCATATAGGGTTTTCAACCCACAATAAATAATTAAATTAATTATTATCAACCAACAATAACCCAGTTACCCATTCCGGTTATTCTCACTTTATGTCCCTAAAATAACTAACACAAGGGACCTAATCTAAGAATATTTTCATCGGGGTGACAACACATGCTGCGGGGGTTCCTCAGCAATATAAGTCAAATAAGGCAACCATGAGGGGGATGGAATACAACGAATAAACACCCAAGTTCATTAACACCTACAGGTTATGAGTCTGCTAGCGTTCCACTGGACTGTCTAGAAAAGTCCGTGGTCGTCATCTAAATTCCGCTAGATGACTGGATCAAAACAACATCGAGGCCTCTCATCTGTTTATTACACACCAACTATCTACCCATGTTCTACCCAACATATTAGTAGATAAAAACATACATTTTTATACATATTTTCAAAACCTGTATAACATGCTTGATTAATACATTTTCCATATAACAGATGAGGCACACACACATAACACGTATTTCATATAGAAATAATCAGATCTGTAAGATAGAAGAAAGTGAATATACATTCACACACATAACAACAAAATATGCACATAACACGTACCTCGTATAAAATACTTCATAATTATACGTTAGGAGAAATTAACAACGCACTCACACATATAAACAACAATATACTTAATACACTCAAACCATACTTGTATTATTATTGTGTTTATAAAAGGTAGTATACACTCACTTGATCAGAAGATGATCGGACAGCACTACGACTTGCAAAAGTAGTAATCCTCAGCAGATCTGGAAGATCTTCACAAAAACCGGACTCCTCGCGGGCAGAGCTTCGGCTCGGAAACCGCACTTCTCGGGATCTTCGGGATCTTGGGACTTGCTTCGGAACTCGGGAATATTACCGGGGCTTCGGGGTGGCTTTGGGGTTAAAAACGCAGAGCTTCGGCACGAAATGGAGGAGAAATGAGCAATTATGCCCGGACCCTTCGCATCCTATTTATAGGAGGCTGGAACCTCCTAGTACGCGGGGCGTACATGCCTCCGAAGTCGTCACTGCATGCGTCATCCGAAGTGTCGACATTTCTTGCTGTACGCAGGGCGTACTCTGGATGAGTCCGGTGACTCGCCTCCGGATAATACCGAGGTTTAGTAATTAATTTTAGTTATTAATTATTTAATAAACTTCGGAAATTCATATCTTCTTCATACGAACTCCGTTTTCGGCGTTCTTTATATCCACGCGAAGGTGAGAATACGCTCTACAACTTTCGTTTAGACTCCGTCGGCTAATTTTGAATTTATTTTTATTATTTATTTTTAATAGGCCGGGACAGAAAATTTCGTTATAAATTCATAACTTCTTCGTTTGACGTCCGTTCTTGCCTAACTTTTTAATTGCTTTGATACTAACAACGAAATCTTCGATTCTCGTTTAGATCACTAAGGCTAAATATCGCTCTAACGTAAATTTCACTTTTTACGTCATTCAGCGGTACCGGTTTTGTCGCGAAACTTCGACATGTCATAACTTCTTCGTTATAACTCAGATTTCGGTATTCTTTATATCCTCGGAAATCTTGTTTCAACTACTACAACATTATCTAATGATATCAAGTTTATTATACACTTAAATTTTCACGCTTATTTTTATTCTTAATTAATCAAACCACATAATTAAGCAATTAAGCACAAAACACATAATACTCAAATAATACACTTCTATTATTTCAAAACGGGTTACAAAGGTTAACTTAGACTATCACATTGCTAAAAATGGCAAGCCTAGAAACACAGGCGTTACAATTTTTTATCTATTCAAGAAACAAAGATGGGAGTTATTGATTTAGGTACAATTCGGTCTTTTGGGGGTAATGTTTCATTTTCTCAAGCTTTCTCTCCTTCTCACGGAGCTGCAGGTGTGATCCTTGTAATATGGGATCCTGACCGAGTTTTTGAGAAAAGGGTGATCATTTTGTATTACTTTGTAGTGAATGAGGCAATGTGGTTGATTTTACGTTTAAAGTTTTTTTTTTTTTTTTTTTTTTTTTTGCAGTCTAAGCTCCTTAAGGGACCGATGGCAAGAGACAACTTTGGTTTCAAACTTTTCAGATGATAGGTTTTTTTGGGTGTGTCGTTTAATGGGAGATTTTAATTAAGTTTGAAACGAACCGGAGAGAATGGGTTCCGAGATTCACTCAAGGTTAGATAGGAGTTTGAGTCAGTTCATAGACCATGACGATTTGATATATATTCCTTGGGTGGTCCTCGTTTTACTTGGAGTTATAAACGGGCGTCTAAAATTAGTAAGTTGGATAGATTTTTGGTCATAGTGGATTTTTTTGGGATCTTTTCCTCATCTCACACATCTTGTTTTAGAAAAGCAAACCTCTTTCATTGTCTTATTCTTCTTTTAAAGCACATAGCTAATTATGGTTCGTATTCGTTATGTTGATTCCACCGTTGGTTCGATATGGATGGTTTTCTCAATGGGGGTGGGATTCTGGATTGCGGTTACCTTTAGGAGTTGTATATGATAATTCTTGGGTTAATTTAAGAACAAGTTGCAAATTCTTAAATCTAATATGCAAATATGAAATTCTAGCAATCAAAATCGAGTGTGATCCAAAAGAAAAGAGTTTCAGGAGATTCTTAAGTCGTTTCATGTGTGTCTCATGGATGATGGTGGTCTGGCTACGTTGTGTGAGCAACAAATTATGATTCAGAAGGAGTATACAAATTTATATCATCTTTCTCAAGTGGATTTAGCTCAAAAGGTGATGATTCAATGGGCTATTGAGGGAAACGGGAATACTGGTTTTTTTCATGGTACTATTAATCGCAACAGGAGTCAGTTGGCTATCTGAGGTGTGTTGAGGAATGGGTGTGGGTTTATGATTTGAGGTGTGTTAAGGAAGAATTTTGGGTATATTATTAGTCTCTTTTTGCGAGATAGAGCAGGATCGTCCTAGGACTGATGCAAGAAAATTTTCTTTTATATAAGAGTCTCAAGTTTGGTTTCTTCAGACTCCTTTTCCTCGTGAAAAATTAAAAGAGTGGTGTAGGATTGTGGTTCGCATAAGGCGCCAAGACCCGATGGTTATTCATTTCATTTTCTAAAGGTTTATTAGGATCTTATAACATATGATGTTGTGGCTTGTGTCATGCATTTATATAATCACTTTTCTATTCTAAATGGATGCAATGCTTATTTATTTAATATTATCCTGAAAGTTAGAGACCAAAAGACTGTTATAGATTTAGACCTATTAGTCTAATTGATTGTCGGTACATGATTGTTGGTAATAGAGATTAATGTTAGAGTTGTGAGTTTGGAGCAATCTGCTATTACTAAAGGCATCTAAATTTTGGATGGTTAGTTTCTTCTTAACGAGCTTGTTGCTTGGAGTAAGTCTTTTAAATACCCACTCCTGGTTTTTAAGATGGATTTTGAAAAATCCTATGACTCACTTCCATGGGAGTCTCTTCATGAGATCATGTAAATCATAGGTTTTGGTATGATGTGGTGTGGGGGGATATTGTAGTGGTCGGGATCTACTAGAGCTTCACTTTTGGTAAATAGATCCCTACTCAGGAATGGAAGATGCAGATAAGTCTGAGGAAGGGTATCCTATTTCCCTATTCCTTTATATTTGGAGATGGAGGGGTTACATGTTGCTTTGTTTAAGGACCAGTTGCCTAACGTTCATATGGGGTTTCCTTTAGTGGCATAAAGATCTCACATCTTCATTTTGCAGGTGATGTAGTGTTGTCATCAACATGGGATCCGAATAATGTTAATTATATTGTTCGTATTCTTCGATATTTTTTCCTGGCCCAGGGTCTTAAAATCAATTTACATAAAAGCAAAATGTTTGAAATTGGGGTTCATACTTCTCAGGTTGCATTAGTTATAGAGCGTATGGGTTATGCACCATATTCTCTTCCTTTTCTTCATATCAGTGTGTATGTGGGTCAGAATATGTCTTGGTTGAATGCTTGTTCTTCCATTATTGATCGATTATAAGGCAGGTTGGTAGGTTTGAAGGAAAAATGTATTTCTTTTGCAAGTTGACATATAAGTCTGTTTTGGGGTCTTTTATTTATTACCTAATGTCGATGTTTCCTACCCGAGTCATGTTTCTTAACTCCTTGGAGTCTTTGAGGGTTAGATTCTTTTTGGGTGCATATTCGGATGAGAGATGTATGCATTGGGTTCAATAGGAAAGATTTATGGATTCTAAAGTAGATTGAGGGTTTGGAGTGGCAAGTATTCTCTAACATTACCCAAATTTGATGTAGGTGACGATTGTCAAACCTTTTTATGGTACCGATGAGCGTTGTTCTTCTTTGGTTCTGAGTA